TATCAACAATTTCTTGGCATATGCATTTTGATTTATGATAACTGATCCATTATTTGAGTTCATGATTTCCATACTCAAAAAATATGATGCAGGCTTTATCGTGACTTTAAACTCTATCTGCAGTTGTCGTAGAAAATATTTTTTCAGTTCCTCATTGTTTGATGCTAGTAGACCATCGTCCACATATAAGCTAAAATAAGAATTTCTGTTCCTTCCCTCATGATGAAGAGACATGGATCGGCATTGCTCTGTTTGAAACCAAAGCAAATAATGAAATCCGTTATTCCTCTGTTCCAACACTTAGGAGCTTATACTTAAGTCCATATAGGCTCTTCTTTAGATGACAAACCCTATTTGTACCTGCACAGTTCTCCTCTAAATACTTCATTTCTCTTCCTATAGCCATTTTACAGTCATTTGCTCGTTTGAGTGTTCTTGACATAGCTTCTCGGTACGTAACTGGCTCATTTATTTCCATAATGTCTGCAGTAACCATCATAGCGAAATCTTCAAACCTGGCAGGGTTTTATATCTGATTTCTATCTCTCAGTTTTCTACTCGGAACATTTGGGCTTCTTCTGAAATGCCATTATCTGGTGATTCTACTAAGATGTCAGAAAGAGTGTCTCAAGTGATTCCACAAACTATCATCTTGTCCATTGTTTTCTTTAGTTTCTTGTTCTGGAGTACCTTTTCTCCTCCTGACAATCTTACAATTGTTTTGCTGAGAAGTTCGAACATGGTCTTCCAACAATGGCAACGTTGAAATTATGTTTTTTTCGTCGAATATCACATCTCTCGATCTGAATAGTTTCTCAGATTCTTCACACCAAATCCGATATCCATCATCTTGGTATAAGTATGCCTTTCACTGCCTTTCTATCAATTTTCTCTCTTACTGACTTTGGTACATGGGCATAACAGGATGTTCCAATAACTCTCATGTGTTTTGAAGAAGGCGTTTTCTCATACCACAGTTCAAATGGAGATTTTTCTTTGATACTGGAATTACCAGTCCTATTCCAAATGTATGCCGATGTATTTATTATTTCAGCCCAAAAAACTTGTGAAAGATCTTCATTAGTAAGCACGATGGATCTGGCAGTTTCAACGATAGCACGATTATCTCGCTCTGCACAACCGTTTTGCTCTGGTGTATAAGGCATTACGAGTCTCTGTTTGATTCCACTTTCTTGTAGAATTTTTCTTACTTGACCATTGTCAAATTCTCCACCATTATCTGAGAGTAGCTCTTTTACTGTATGTCCTACTGTTTTTACTTCAGTTAACATAATTGTCAGTATTTCCGCAACTTCAGATTTTTCTTTCAGAAAGTAAACATAACGATAACTGGAATCATCCTTGAAGAGCATGAAGTATCTAAGTATAGCCACTTTTAGATTTTTCAGAAGGCCCACACACATTTGTGTGTAAGAGTTCTTCTGGTACTTTTGCTCTCTTTCTCTCGTTCCAAACTTTCTCGTGTGCATTTTAACATAAATACAACCCTCGCATATTTCGCTGCTTATAAGGTCACTTTGAGGTCAAACTCACGACTCAAAATATCACCTATGTGTCGCTTTTGATGACCAAAGCGTTCATGGTATAGTTGCAATAAGTTATCATTAGAAACTATGTCGATTCGAGCTGTTTCCTTGAGCTTTATGATCTGCAATGCTAGTTTGTACAGTCCTCTAAATCTACCTCTTTCACCTGTCAGTATGGTTTTACCACCAACTATAAAACTGCATTTTTTTAGTGCTTGGAGTAAACTTTGATGTAGGCTGTACATCTTCTGCATGTAAAACCGAAAATAAATTATTTTTAATCAGAGGAACGTACCATACGTCTAATAACCTCAGAACATCTTCTCTGTCTTGAACTTCTGTTTGTACCAGATTGTTTCCTTTTCTAACCGTTTCTCTATTCGCTGTCGTTATGATGTGTGTAAATATTCAAATGTTTCAAAGATATCACCTCGATTTGTAATATGATTTCTAGCCTCATTATCCACAAACCAGCTATTCTCCTCACATTCGCTAAATAAGACACTACTTAGTTGTTAAAGCACCTAACATCATGTTTGCATCCTTATTTTTCTGTATTCTGTTATTTCTTGAATTTGAGCTTTCTGATTTTGGAGCTCTATCATCTTCTTTTCATTTAATACATTGTTTGACCTTATGACCTTGTCTTTTGCAATAATTGTGCAAACTAGTTTTCTCTTATTGGTCGCGCTGCTTCTCTTTCCTGCAAGTAATGCCTCCTGATGACTTTCATTATTTTTGTCTGATAATGCCTTCTTAAGAGAACAGAGCTGATTTGTTAAATTGTCTATTGTCCTGTCAGATTTCGACATTAACATCCAGCTTGACTTGAGGGAGAAGTAGTCTTGGGATAGAGTTTCTAAACTCTTACAGACAAACAGCAACTCAGGTAACTCACAATCACATGTTTCATTTGTAATGATTTTGTCTTTTGATAACCACTTTTGCAGTCCATTACACAGGTTCTTGAGCTTAGACGTGTGCGTTGCCATATCCTCTTCAACTTTCTTCTTATACTTTAAGAATTCTAAGCAAATATCATAGGTTTTGTCCTCGACATTGCCATTATTAACATAGAATAAGATTATTAATCAATTGAACACTCTATGTCAGACGTAGAAAGTTCTTCAACATGACGACTTTTTTCAATTGCTTTGCACCCTTTGCTTCCACATTGAAAAAATTGTCTCCTAGATATTCGGAGTTTTGACACTACTTTATTGAACTAATTAATCTCTACTTAATGAAATTGAAAAAAATGTCTCAATCCCCTTAAAACAAAACAGACATGCAGACACATACTGATGTGTAGTTTAATCTCGATTTGAAATAATAAACCACTAGTTGTTAAACCAAAATTAGCTCAGGGTCTTTTTGCAGACCGCAGGTCTCAAAAGATTCTTATTGAGTCCAGACACTGGAATTTATCCCATAGAAATTAATTATAACGTGACCATATGCTAATTGGAGCCAACTGTAAAAACACCACTGTGACGTTAGAAATTCCGATTTACATACTTCAAGATCCAGATGCATCATATAATGTTCACGATGTGTTATGACTAGAAAAAATATTATGTTTACCTACTGTGAAATATTCAATTACTATGTAGTTTTAATTGCACGGCATTGACCCTAAATAATTTTTAAATGATTCTTTTATTTAGCCTCAGACAAATCAATTATTAGGGTCAGTTTACGACTCGTTCCTCCTCGGAATTAAAAATAAAATTCGTATCCGCAAGACAAGGCGAGAATAGCAATTTAATTGGCCATTAATTTTATGACCAATAAAGCACCTACTTACAATAACTACAAAATAGAACCATCTGGTACGAAACTGATACGAATCAGAAACCTATAATGCTCAATTTATTTTAAACGGAATTCGTTTTAAGTGATTTTGATTTCGATTAGTGTATACTATCTCACTATTTAACAATACAAACCCCAAATTTGATGCATTATACATATACTTTGAATATTAGGTGTGGTATATGCAGTAGGTACCTACTTTAGAGTTTAGGTCCTAGGAGCTTGACCTAATTTAATTTATTTGTTTTGAGATGATGAAAAAAACATTGAGGAGTAAGGAGTAATTATTTGTTCTTAAGATGTTCAGTTCATATTGGAATGTGAATCAGTATTAAGTGGCATTTTAGTTGTGAGTTTCGTTACAATTTCTGACCAGTTTCTCTGTGATGGCTCAAATCATTTTACAAGAACCTTCTTTGATAATTTCATAGGAGTTTTATATTACAAGCCATCGCAGGGCTTTTCTAGTGTAACCCTAAAAGGTAGTCGCACTCAGAAGGTCTCCACCCATGCCGGGTATAGTGACAGTGTGACACTTTTTCATTAAGAAGATGTACGAACCACGGCTTATGAGAAAAGCTCCTATAAAACTAATGTGTTAATTGGAATTTTTTATGCAGCTTTTTCTCGAAGGTTTCAATGACGACGTGAATTGTTTCATCTTTCATAAACACTGATCAAAACGAAAAAGGAGCCACTTCAGTAATTTAATATAATCTCTTCATTGCATTGAAAAGAAAACTGTCTTTTCCCAGCAGACATGCAATTCCATATGAAACCAAAATAGTATATTGTTGTATTAGGAGTAGAAGCTTTACTTTTTTGTGCTGAAGCAGTAGGTTTGCTGAAGCACAAAAAAGTGCTTCTACTCCGTATGCAACACGCTATTTTTTCTCCAAACGAATGGGGCAGCCTCGAGGGTAACTGAATGGTTGAGCGGCAGTAAAAGTACGAGCGGTACTAAAAGTACTTTTGCTGCCGCTGGGGATGCCAAGCAGCATAAAAATTGAATTTCTACCACCTCGACAGGTGTTAACCTGCTGGATTTGCCTACCAGCATAGAAATTAAATTTCTGACATCTTGACAGGGGTTAACAAAGTGACGTTTTTTTGACGTTTGGAGAAAAAGGTTATTTTTATCACGGTCTGTTTACTTATTCGAAAAAATTGCAAGTTTGTAAATTTGCTCTCACTAAGCTTTGTCCCAACACAGCAGGAAACCGTACAATTTACTCTCACGATTCTGCGCAAAGCCTAAAATGTTTGCGTAGAATCTGAAACTCTTATACGGAGTGGTTTCCAAACCATTCATTTTTGACGTGTTGGAACAGACGTATATTTAACTTAAAAGATAAAATAATTTCGTTTAAAACTACGAACATATTTAGAAGTAGCTTCTTTTTCGTTTTGATCAGTGTCTGTTTTGAGCAGTCCATAATGTGCTTTATTTATTCGAAATTATGTTTTGTTTCTTAACACTTCTATCAGGAGAAAACACATTCTACCCATGCAAATATTTTCTCTTTGTCCCGAGCAAAAGTTACTAGATAAATTTAAGACTTCATGTGCTTTGGGGGCCTAAAATGTCTTATATCATAGTTTAGTCCCATAATAATATAGTAAGTTTTTTTGTTTAAGATGGCTCAATGTCAGATGGTATGGACTAGTGCAATAATATTACTCGGGTATATAACTTTGGCGTCATTTCAACCCTATGACGATTTTAGCGACCTCAGAGGACCTTATTGTGAGAAGATTGGGTGCTGCACTAACAGGAAAGACTCTTGTGCTCAACCAATTATAGGTAAGTTTTTTGCTGAAACTAAATCTACTATGTTATTTTGTTATTTTTGATGGGGATATTGCTGTTTCACTGGGTCAAGTGTCATGCTTATTAGTTTTTTTTTTCTTCATAAATAATGAAAAATTTGTTCATAGACAGAATTTAATGAATACTTAATCTTTATTACCTATATGATAATTTAATAGTTGGTAGACGTAATATCTCATTATACCTATATATTCGTTATTATATATTTATTCTAGTTGATGAGTAATCTATGTTTTGCCATCAATTATTTACCTATTGAAAGTTATTTTGGTAAATTATTTATTTTTAATTTTAATGAACACCAATTTAATCCTAAGATTCCTCAAGATTTTCGAAGTATATGGGCGATGTAATTGAAAAATAACTTGAATATTACAAGGTTTATGCCCTTTCAAGAAACTGGAAATAAAAGATGTCACTGCGTTATATCATGTTAACGTATTGATATTATAGTTCTATTTTGTATCGACAGTTTTGCTCTTTTAGACATATGGCAGGCTATCAAGGAGGAGCATTATCTTCAGACATTTAATCAAGCCAATTACCAATTGTACGAGATTTTGTGTTGAAGAATAGTGATTGCTGCATTTTTCAACCCGTTGTTTAATTTCCTTGTCGCATATAATTCCCTTATTCGAGCGCGAACGGGAATGAAGAAGCCGAGGTTGAAAGAAACAGTCAGTGTCGAGTTGTGGACATCGTTCTCAGGAGTCGCCTGAAAACAAGAACCTCCACAGCACAGGGTATCTGTCTGATTGAACACTACTGAACATAGTAGTAGCTTTGTCCACTTTTTCATCTTTTGCACCTCTTGTCATTGCGGTCGTTCCGCCATCTAAAGTCTGTTTTTTTTTTAAAGATAATTCCTTAAGGGCCAAATTATGGACTGACTGGTAAACGTCTGGTTGTTACCTAGCAGGTACTTTCTATGCACTAGAGAATAGAAAGTACCTGCTAGGTGACAACTAGACACTTACCAGTTGGTCCATAATTTGGCCCTAAGTCAAAAATTTAGTAACTATGTTGGCAACACAAGCCTTTTCTAAATAAAAAATTTGAAAGATTGACAATTTTACATTGTTTTGCCAACATAATGTAATTTTGACTTTTATCTTTAAAAAAAAAACAGATGTTAGTTGATTTCCCTCCAGAATCGATCTCGTCATCTTTTGTCACTAAAGTCCCAATTCCACTTCAGCCCCTCATCATTCGACAGTTGTTTGGGCCACTTTTATCCTATCAATAGATTTCTTTGTCAAACTAGCTAATAGAACAACTTTCGATTTCATTTCTGAAACAAAGAGGAATGTTTCCTTTAAATATAGGCATACCTATAGCTGAATTGACCAAACGCTGTCCATGTTAGAGAGTATTTCTGTTAATTTCACACCTACGCATTTAGTTTTTTTTTTACCTAAATCCACATAGGAAGCAACTTGGGTGATTTGTAAGTTTTTCAATTTTGTTTCCTCTGAAAACAAGGTTGGTTATGACTTTGAATTTTAGATACCTACTTCATTCTTGTATCAACATCTGACTCGTCGTTTGCAGTATCCTAATTGCCCTTGGCTAAACTATTGGATTTCCTTTCCGCGCGATGTCATCAGCCAACCTCAAACCTCAGAATATTTGAGATTCGGCCATTCATCGGCAGCTAATTTTTTTGAACATCTATTTCATCAGGATAGCTGCCAATTAATTTGTTCAGAGGCCCAGGCAAAGGGAGCTTCAAGACTAAGAGAATCCAAACAGTGGAAGGAAACCGAATATGGACACTCGACAATACTTAAGAATACAGCCAAAGTGATGTCCCACCAAGAGGCCGAAACATACTACTTCTTTTTTTCTTAAAGTGCCTATCCTCTGAGAATGTTGGTTATCACATTGGTCCATATTACTTTGTTTACCGAAGTGCTGAACAAAGTTGTTGATGTCATTCCGTTCCATGTTCTTACATTTTTCTGCCAAGATATACGTCTGCGACCCAATGATCTTCGACCCTCTATCTTTCCCTGAAAAATAAGCTCAAGGAGATGATATTTTTCGTTTCGCATGATATGCCCAAAGTATTCTAGTTTTCTGCATTTGATCTGTATTTCTTTCGCCTCTTTTTCTATATTTTTGGTGCTTTTCTAGCCTGGTACATACTGCACGTTTCACGTGCCAATTTTCTTTTCTGGGCTTATTTTGAAGACATCGTTGGACGACCGGAGAATTCTTAGCACCCTCTTCCTATTTAGAGGGTGCCCGGGACTGAGGGCCGTTGTTTGATTTTGTATATCCATTGTGATGTCTTGGGGAATAAATGTAGTTCAGGTAGTTTCTCGTCACTCTCGTGACTATGTTTTTAGCCGCTCCTACGTGGAGAACAGACGCTGTCGGATTACCGCTCTTAACATGGAGGCCGTCGTGTCCTAGGTGCTAGTATTGGTCCGCCCCGAGTATTTGATTTCCTCGGTACCACCCATATCTGAGAAGTATTCCCCTATCTGCGACCTCCCATGGGATGGGCAATGTCACCATATACATATTATGAGGTGGATAGCGAAGCAGCGCTGAGACTACTAGAATAACATGTAGTGAGATCAAAAATAATAATGAGCTGCCGAGAAGCGCTATCCTGTATCCGGAATAGAAATGTCAAACTAAGCTGGGTTCCTGGACATAGTAAAATCGGAGGGAATGAAATAACAGATAGACTGGCAAAACTGGGAATAAAAAAGGACTAAGCTGAAACAGACGACTCATCACAACCACAACCAACGATGGATTTAGTACAAAACCATGACGCAGCTGCATAGCAGCAGATAGAGCAGTCGTCATGACAGCGTAACATCACGAGCTCGGTGGCCGTTCGAGGATATATAGGAAACAAGGAAATTATTAAAACTGGATAAAAGATCGATAAGCATCTTAGTAGGAACAATCACAGGCCTCGGGACCGATGAACTATGTCAAGAATACTTTGAGCAGGATGGAACAATAGAGCACCTATTATGTCACTGCCGAGCCCTGCAGGAGGAACGCCTACACCCCCTGCAGCAAAGTTACCTGGAAGGGAAATACTGAACTATGCACTGGCACAAAATGGAAAAAGAAGGAACAGGTTAAAGATTAGGGAGAAAACATGTATGGAGAAAACCACCTTGAAGAAGGGAACACAATGGGCCTCCGAGTGCAAGCTCTACAGTTGTAGGGCAAACCCTTTAAAACCTAACCCTGACCTACTTTAGCTGGATGGTGATGTATTTTTTGTCCAAAAGTCCTCACGTTCAGCATTATCCGCTTCATGGAGACTTAGAAAGTTGTTGGTCGACCTTGTTCTTCGTTAATGTTCAAGACCATATATTATAAGCATAATAACCATTTGTCTGCTGCTGCATCTTTCGATATTCCAGAATCCATGAAAGCATGCCAAAACCTGTCCATGCTAGCTTTATTTTTCGTGCCATTTGGTTGCTTTTATGAAGTTTTAAGTTTTAGTATCCTTCCTAGCTAAATACATTCGCTGACTTTCTCCAAGGAAAGGTTTTCAAAGGTTTGTTTTTCTCAGATTCATCTGTGAGCCGATTTTTTTTCGATGCACTTGTCACTTGACTCGTCCTCAAATGTGCGACTCTTCAAAACTGTTGTGAATGAATCTCCCTCTCTGACTCCTCTCCTATGATTGGAATGTGGCATGTCAATGTGGCATTTCTGTGAATGTTATGGATAAGCTTTTTGTATCGAGAGTCAATTTCAGAGTATATTTATTGCTCCTTCTATGGCCCATAGCTCAATGCTATCGAATGCCTTCTCATAGTCCACAAAAGAAAAACAGAGAGGAAAATTATATTCTTTTTTTGAAGAATTTCTATGGTAATAAGGAAATGGTCAGCAGAGGTACTGAAATCGTTTGCCATATCGCACTATCGAACTACGAATCTGGTAGGTATTAAGTATTCGAAACCGACACTTTCTAATTTTGTTAATTTTTTTTTTGTCACGTTGAGACATTGCGCTATACTGTACAGGCCACAAGAGTTTCACAGCTGAACCAATTTTGTTGTCGTTCATTTCTCCTGTTTCATTTCTATTTCTTATGTGCATGGTTTTGTTGACGTGTTCTGTTCTAGGCATTTTGGGTCTTTGTTCTCTTCTATAACTCTTCCCATAATTGGTTCGTTGTTTATCTTTATGTTTTCTTTGGGAGTTGATTGTATTATTTCATTGATTCCTCCGATTCCGTTGTATTTAATTTCTCTTATGATAGCTGAGATGTTTTCTTTGGATCATCGATTCCTTATTTCTGGGTTCATCCCATCCTTCTTTGTGTTTTCTTTTCTCTGATTTTCCCCTATTTGCTTCTTCTTGCCCATAGTGAACTTCGTATTTCTTTTTGAGTTATTTCTAATTCATGAGACTCAATTTTCATCTTTATGTAGACGACTACTTTTTTCACAGGCTCATAAAGTAAACTGCGTCACAAAAATTGAAATGAGACAGTATTAGCCAGTCAGTAAGCTTGATTTTCAGGCTTTCAGAAATATCATGTCGGTGAGAATATAACATTTCGTATGTTCCTATTCAAGTATTTACTGCCACACCGCAATTTGGGAATTCATTTGTAGCTATTTGAGTCTAGATAAATCATCTATGTTTCTTTGTCATTGTTACTTTTAATTCAGTAACTTTCAGGATTTCTCAAGAAAGTCATACAATGTAATGTACTCACAATACAAGCCGATGGTACCTACTGCCTGAGTTGAGAGATTGGAATTGCTATGTATTATACTGTTGTCTAGGTACCTAATTGTCGTTTGTTTATTTTTTAAATACAAGGTGAGTCCGAAGTAAGTGCGCATTTTGTTATGGTAGATAGAGTACAGTAGGACAATCACTTTTTGCATTGGTATAAGTCTCCACAAACGTCTCCTTAAGAAAATACAGAGTATTGAAATTTTCGGAAAATTTCGACTTGTTGCCTTTAGATT